CCAATCCCTCACTAGCCTATCCTACCAAGTGATCCTTCTCCATTTGTCCAATATCGATTCCTTAAATAGCTCATAAGCCTTACTGTATAAAAAAGATACTTTACTTGGATAGAATCCTATGATGGAGCATCATCATCCATACCTCTGCCATTTTCATCAGAGAATTAAGACCCATATCAGATAAAGACCTAGACTTACTAGTTATTCCAAGAACTAAAAGACATACTTGCACTAAGATCCAATCAAGAAGATAAGGATCAAGCTACTTAGGAAGAAGAACAACTAGAACAACTCAATCACAACAGCCTTGCTGCTAGAATGCGTTGAAAGGAAGGAAAGACTTAGCTTAATGTATCACATGATTAGGAGTGTATCTATTAAAGCTTACACTAATCACAGAAGGAAACTAATTTTAGTCATCTCTACTTTTCATGTATTTTTTTTGTTGTACTATTGTCAAAAGTCACTTTTGACTTTTAGACAAAGTAGTCTATTTTAAATCATGTCAGTTTGTTTTACCCCTACTTTTACTTTTACCCTATTTAAAGTCATCAGGCATGTGATTATAGTTTGTCCATTTATAATCATGAAACGTCTATTTTCATCATCCACTCTAAGTCTATATAAGGAGGACTTAGTTGTATTTGTATGGTAGAACTTGTTTAGGAATAAAAATCCTATGTGTTTTCTTAATTAAGTCTCTCTAAACTCTTTCTCTCTCCTGAAAGCTTAATTCTTTAATATCATATATTTGTTATAATTCAAATTCAAGTATGTTCTGCACTTTCCTCTTTGAGGAACTTGTGCATAAAAAGAATCTGACCAACAATCTATGTGTGTGAGCCCATGTCACTATGCTTAGAGATTTGTGGATTAAAGTGTCAAGGGGTTGAAGATCCTAAAATAGACTGAGCTTGCCCACGAGAGGCATTGAGGGTAAGTTACCGAGATTACTATACTATGTAACATTGAGAGTTTTTCAGAGAATACACTAATATCTCAAGTATAATGGAAATCCAATAGGCTCCTCCAGGATATGAAAACATCAGGGATCAACTTTTTGAATTTTGCTGTGAAAGTCATGATTAATTTCAGCATCCATCTCTTCTGTGGAAAAATAAGGAGTTTTTTTATATAAAACTTCCTTTCAAAAAGAATGAGGATGTTAACCCCACAAAAGCATCCTATCCTAGGATGAATCCAGAAGATCTTTCTTTGGCTAGAGAAGAATGTGCAGTATTACTCAAACAAGGTCTCGTTGAACCCATAAAATCAGATTAGGCTTGCCAAGCTTTTTGTGTAGAAAAGAGATCTAAAAAGCAAAGAGGAAAGAAGAGGTTGGTGATTGATTATAAACCTTTAAATGCTTTCCTTTAAGAGGATAAATTTCCTCTACCCAAGATCAACACTCAAAATGTACCTTTAAAGCAGGCCAAAATATTTTCAAAATTTAACCTCAAAGCAAGATTCTGGCAACTTGAAATAATCCTACAGACAGATACAAGATAGCCTTCTGTAGTCCAAATTCTCAATACCAATAGATACTCATACCTTTTGGACTCAAGACTGACCCATCTCTATTTTAAAAGGCCATGATCATAATTTTAAGCCCATTATCCACAGAGCTCTTATCTATATAGATGATATCTTGTTATTCTCAGAAACAGAACAAGAGCATAAAAACCTTTTAGCTCAATTTTGCAAGATCATTCAATAATATGGGATCATGCTCTCAAACTGAAAATGATACATTGGTGCAGCCCAAATAGTATTTTTGGGTATGCTAATTCAAGATGGACAATACCAACCTAGCCCATATATTACAGAGGAATTATTAAACTTTCCTAATGAAAACTTATCCAAAACTCAAGTTCAATAGTTTTTGGATATAGTTAATTATATCAAAGACTTTTACTCCTCAAGTGTCTCATCATACCAGACAGCTATCTAACTTTTAAGGAAAAATCCACCCCCTTAGGGTCCCAACCAAACAAAAGTTATTCTCTATTTAAAGTAAATCTGTCAGCATCCTCCACCGCTTAGGATTCCAAACAAAGGACAGCATATCCTGCAAACTTATATAAGGTTTTCTATTTTCTAAGTAAGGGTTCTTTTTACAGTAGAAGGAAGATTATCAAAAGAAAAGGTTGAAGAAAGATTTACAGGGTCAAGGACTATAGTTGGGATTTTTGAAAAAGAGCTTTCTGAAAATCCACTCATGTTTTCTGAGATATCTCCTTACTCACTTTTATCAACAATATCTAATATCAGTTAAGAAAGAGTGAGGCTTTGATTCCATAAGGGTAGGACTCATATGCGCCTAGTCCCAAAGATCCTTGTGTCTCAATTCTACATGATATAGAAATCTAGGTAAGGCACCCTCAATGCTTCTCTTGGGCAAACACAGGCCATTTTAGGATCCTCAACCCCTTGACACTTCAACCCACGAATCTCTAAGCATAGTGACATGGGCTCACACACATGGATTTTTGGTCAGATTCTTTCTAAAGCACAAGTTCCTCAAAAAGGCAAGTGCAAAGCATACTTAAATCTAAATTATAATAGATATAGGATATTAAAGAATCAAAATTTCAAGAGAGATAAGGAGTTTAGAGAGACGTAATTAAGAGAAAACACAAGATTTTTATTCCTAAACAAGTTCCACCTTACAAGTGCAACTGGGTCCTCCTTATATAGACCTAGAGTGGAGGATGAGAACAAACGTTTCATGATTACAAACAAACAAACCATAGTTACATGCATGATGACTTTAGATAGGGTAAAAGTAAAAGCAAGGGTAAAACAAATTGAAACGACTTAAAGTAGACTGCTTTGTCTAAAAGTCAAAGGTGACTTTTGATAATATTACAACAAGACAAATACATGAAAAGCAAAGATAACTAAAAGTAAATTCCTTCCATGATCAACACTGGCTTTGATGTATGCATTCCTAATCATGTGATAGATTGAGCCAAGTCTTTTCTTCCTTTTAGCGCCTTCTAGCAACAAGGCTATTATGATTGAGATGTTCTAGTTGTTCTTCTTCCCAAGCAGCTTGATCCTTATTTTCTTAAGTTGGTCCTGGTGTAGGTGTGTCTTTTAGTTTTGGGAATAACTGGTGGGTCTGAGTCTCTATCTGTTATGGGACCTTACTATTTAGTGGAAATTTCAATTAAAGTGGAATTTTCATCTGTTGTCTATTCAGGGGTCTTCCGTAGGCAAACTTGGTTCGCCATATAAAGTCTTCCCTTACTATTGAGATGATAAGGATGATGGAGGATGAAGAAGGAATATGCTTTTTGTTCTTGTAGAGGGACTTTCCATAATAATTCTTTAAGATCATCATGCTTATTAATAATAACCATTAAATGAATACTATATTTATTTTAATACCATAATTAGAAATTTCACACAATTAAACCAAAACAATTATTAAATGAATGGTTAAGATTAGGGTTGGAGAGATATATTAAGATAGACTATGAAGATAATCCAAATTTTGCTCATCAATGCTCATCCTAATATGGGCGCTTCATTTTATCTTAAATTGATTTATACCTTTCATTTTGAATTTATTTTTGAATATTTTTAATATTGTATTTCTTAAAATAAAAATTATAAAAAATTGTTATTAAATCTTTATAGTCCAATGTACATCTAGATAGTCAAGTATAGAAATTATAAAAAAATTTAATATTAAGTTGAATTGCTCAAATTATATCCAACTGTCCAAGGTGTATCTAAATAATTAATTTGTAAAATTATAAAAAAATTTAATTTTAACTTAGACAGTCCAGCCTAAACCTGTCTTAAAATAATTTAATTTTTATTTTGATAAATATAAAAATTTAAAAAATTCTTGAAGTCTAAGCGATCCATATCTTATCAAGGGTGATGAGTAACATGGTGATCATCTCTTAACGAGCACAGAAGGCAATTTAGATTTAATATTATAATTTTTTATAATTTTTTATTATGATAAATATAATATTAAAATAAATAAAAAAATTAACTTAAAATGAATAGCAAAGATCATTTTAAGATTATATTTTATTGTAAAAATATTTTAAAAAAGCTATCTCAGCAAAATGTGTGGTCCATTGACAAAATTTAACGACACGTGGATAGTAGGATGATGAGGTAGCTCCTTTCAAATGTTCAGTGATAAAAGTAACCCAATATCAAGTTTAAAGTGCTCATAGACTCTAATTGAGGGTAAAATTTAAGGGTAAAAGTGATTCTTAATCCATAAAATATATTTATTCTTGTTTTTACTGAATTGTATAAAAACCATTCTTATGAAGTTATAATTATAAAATTGAGTAATTGCATGAACATTAATTTTTTCCGGTAATGTGTACATAACATTCAATGATAAAGCTTATTAAAAAAAATTAAACTAGTCTTAATTTGCCTATGTTAGACCTATATTTCTTTCAGACTTTTGTTATGATATCAAACGTATATTGATTTATTTTTGTATTACGATGTGAACATTCATCTTGTTCTTTTGTTCAAATTATATATATTCAATCACAACAGAAATATATTGAAAATCTGAACATTAATTAGAAATATTTATTTTTAACATATTAAATTTTTATTTAATTATTTATATTTATATGCTAAAAATGAAATTTACAACAATAGTTAATCATAAAAAACTTAAACTGTCAATAATACGTGCGTGTTAATCCCGTAAAGCCCAAAAAAAAAAAAAAGAACGAAACTGAAAAAATAATCTACCACTGATCAGTTCCCAGGCAAAACAGAATGGGATCTATTTCACCTAAAAACTAGAAAACAAACATAAGAGAATCTTCAACAGGTAGTAGATTCAAGACTCTCTTCCCTAAGATGCACTTTTTTTTTTTTATTGAAAAGATGATTCATAAAATACAATCTTCATGAATAGATAATTTAACAGATCTAAACATAAAAGCAATGAATCCAGTGAATAGATCTAACAATAAAGAAGGAGCAAAGGAGAAAATAGGAACCTGAAGGATGAAATGATGTTGAGGTCAAGTCTGTGCTTAGTCTTCGGTCTCTGATCTGCAAAATCTATGAGGTATTTGTGTTTGTAAATGAAGCTCCAATATATAAGACCCAGTCCCAAGTCGTCGTCCAAGTCCTAAGTACGCTCCTTCGCAGAACCTTCAGTTTAGGAAAGGGACAAAGCAAAGTGACGTGCATACACCTGCAATATTGCCATCCAGCTGTCTGTAACTCAATGTAATATTTTTTAGGTAGATGTCTTTATACAACATTTTAATATGAATTTGACTTCTGGATTTGAAATGGCTTCTCAAAAAAACGCTCTAGACACCAAGTTCGTCTTCTCTGCTTCTGCTCCAACCAGAATTGATGAAGATCTGGATCCTTCTGTTTCAAAAGAAGAAGTTGACTTGCTTAATAGGAATGTCATAAAGATAGATGAAGTTATTGTTGGCGGCACTAGCAGAAATGCGAACGGCGAGGTACGAATTGCTCGAGTCGTGCCCGGAAGAACACCGTCCTTAAGAACTATTCTGGCACAACCTCCGACGACCGGCAGTTCCCCAGGATTAAACAAGCACCTCCTCGGTGGAATGAGGGAATAGAACAACGGAAACTAAATGGAAGCACAGACGAACACAGACGAATTGACAGAGGGAGGAGAGAACCCGAAAACACAAGAGGCTTGTACCGCTTTGTCTGCACACATGGCTATATATAGCTCGAAGGTGGACATGAACGTTGGGGGGTTACCATCGGATTAAAGGCTCGGTTACACTGTCATAAAAATTGTTTAAAAGCTTGTCTGGAAACGTTGGGGTCACACAAATGTAAAATGCATTTAACCTCCTGTCTGAAAATGTTGGGAAGACAAAACGTTTAGAAAATTAATTTGGTTAATGATCAAAAAACATTATTGATTTGATTTCAAACTTTAGACAGCCAAAAATTGAGTTTCTTTCCTTTGCCTTTTACTTCTCTTTAAAACCAAATCCTCATTTAAATTTTGTTCAAACTCTGAATTTTCAACAGGTTTAGAAACATACTTAATTTTTAAGGGAAAAATATGTTTAAAAAATTCAGCATCCTTAGTCTCTACAATTGTGTTTTAGTCTAAAACATCACTTTTTAAAACTAAAAAACGATACGCTACACTTTGTTCAACATACCTAATAAACATACAATCAGAAGTTTTAGAGGTAATTTTCCTCTTTTTAGGATCAGGCAATAAAACATTTGCAAGACACCCCCACACTTTCAAATATTTTAAGTTTGGAGTAAACCCTTTCCATAACTCATAAGGTGTTTTCTTTATCTTCTTATGAGGTATCCTATTTTGTAAAAAAACATGCAGACAAAATAGCTTCACCCCACAAGTTATCAGGTGCAGAAGAACTCACAAGCAAAGAATTCATTGTTTCTTTTATTGTTCTATTTTTCCTTTTTGCAACACCATTAAACTCGGGAGAATAAGGAGGTGTTATCTCATGTATAATTCCTTCTTTTTCACAAAAATAATTTAACAAAATATATTCTCCACCTCTATCAGATCTAACCCTTTTAATTCTTTTGTTTAACTGATTCTCAACCTCTACTTTATATAAAAGAAATTTTTCAAAAGCTTCATCTTTGTTTCTTAACAAGTATACTTTAGTATATCTTAAAAAATCATCAATAAAAGTTATATAATATTTTTTACCACCTCTAGTCATGGTTTGTTTTAAGTCACCTAAATCTGTGTGAATTAAAGATAGTAATTCAGATTCTCTTTGACTAGAAAAATGAGGTTTTTTACTTTGTTTAGTTTATGCACATACTTCACATTTTCCAAAATCATTGTTTTTAATTTTAGAAAGTAGTCTAAGTTGTCGCATCCTATTTATATAACCTTTACTAGTGTGACCTAGTCTAGCATGCCACAGATCAAAAGAATCAACCATATAAACAGGCATATACTCAAAAGATTCAGTCTTATTCATTTCATCAACATTCAAAACAAATAGTCCCTAATTACAATACCCTTTGCCTACAAACACATTATTTTTTATCATTACAATCTTGTTAGATTCAAATGACACTTTAACCCCAGCTTTTCTTAAAAGAGCAACTGACACTAAGTTAGCTCTAACTTCAAGCACATGCAGAACATCATTCAGAGCCAGAGTCTTTCCTGATGTGAGCTTTAAGACCACTTTCCCTTTTCCTTGAACTTTAGCAGTTCGGGAATCAGCAAGGTAAACATGGTCTTCCCCTTCCTTTACAGGATTATAGGTGGTAAACATCTCTTGGCTAACACATATGTGCTTAGTAGCCCTGGAGTCTACCACCCATTTCTTCACATCAGAAATCAAAAGAGCTTTTGACACCACTCCAGCAATGATGTCATCATCACTGTCACCATCTCGTTGTACCAAATTTACATTTGGCTTTTGAGGCTTATCACAGTTTGCTCCCTTCCTACACTGTGCTGCATAGTGTCCTGGTTTACCACAGACAAAACAATCTCCTTTCTTTTTGAAAGAAGGGTTAGAAGCATTGGGCCTATTCTTCTTGTCTTTAGTTTTAGAATCATACCTCTTGTTGTGAGGCTTTGTCTCCACCAAGTTGGCTTTGGATGTCATTTCTTTGGTTCGAGCTGCACGTATTGCCTTGCGGTTGGTATCTTCGATGATGATGTGAGTGATCAAGTCAGTTAAGGATAGCTACTTTTGTTTGTGTTTCAACTGCTATTTGTAGTCAAACTATGATTCTAGCAGCTTCTCAATCAGTAACCTAGCAACAAACTCATCTGGAAGGTTGATATTTTCAGCACGAAGCTCTTCCAACAGCTTATGATATTCGTTGATTTGCTCCTTGACATCCTTATTCTCAATCATCTCCCATTTGTAGTAGTTGCCCACAACGAACTTTTGTTTGCCGGCATCCTCAGCTGTGTACTTTGTCACCAGGGGCTCCCATATCTTACAAGCTTCCTTATAGACATAGTAGACATCGAACAAATTATTAGATAAAGTGCTAATGATAGTATGTCGGCATACCTTGTTTGCATGAGTCCATGCAACTCTCTGGGCTTGATCAGTATTAGCAAGAGGCTCGGATTGAGTAAGAGCAGCAGCCACACCATGCATGTCAAGAACGGTGAAGACTCGTTCTTGCCAACGTTTAAAGTTTCGACCATTAAAGACTTCTATCTTCAATATGTCCGGGAACGGCCTGGGTAGGGGGACAGCAACAGCGGCAGGGACGTACTGACCTCCAGTCGAACCACTGGGCACACCTTCAGGAGTGACATTCTCAGCATTGTTCGTCACCATTGGATTGATTAGTTCTTAAGATTGTTGGCGGCACCAGCAAAAACACAAACGGCAAGGTACAAATTGCTCGAGTCGTGCCCGGAAGGACACTGTCCTTAAGAACTATTTCGGCACACCTTCGATGACCAGCAGTTCCCCAAGATTAAACAAGCACCTCCTTGGTGGAACGAGGGAACAGAACAACGGAGACTAAATGAAAGCACAGACGAATTGACAAAGGAAGGAGAGAACCCGAAAACTCAAAAGGCTTATACCGCTCTGTCTGCACACATGGCTATATATAGCCCGAAGGTAGACATGAACGTTAGGGGGTTACCACCAGATTAAAGGCTCAATTACACTGTCATAAAAATTGTTTAAAAGCTTGTCTGGGAACGTTGGGGTTACACAAACATAAAATGCATTTAACCTCTTGTTTGGAAACGTTGGGAAGACAAAACGTTTGGAAAATTAATTTGGTTAATGATCAAAAAATGTTCTTGGTTTGATTTCAAACTTCAGACAGCCAAAAATTGAGTTTCTCCGACAAGCCAAAAATAATTATTTATTTTGTAAAAATAATCCGGTAAAAGGAACCCATTACCTCTTGAACTCGCATGCCGGGGGGCAAATCGACTGATTTCAACTGCGATTGCCCTGAGTTGGCCTGTCTCATATGCACGAGGCCACTTCTCCTCCAAGCCCATTTTACTAACCCACTTCATTCCTTAGTATATATACACTAGGAGAGTCTTTCTTTTAGTCAATGTGGGACTTTGACATACACACACTTTTGACACACATACAACAATTATGGTGGACAAGGAACAAGATAACACACAGAATCTTCAATCACCAAATCAACTCTATGAAAAACAACTATCAAGAAAAGAAGCTCCTAGTAATTCTACTCATCCACTGGAAACTCAAGGAGATACCTCTCAGAATGCAAATGCAAGAAAAGAGAATATGATGAAAGGAATCAAAGCCTTTAAAGGTCTTATATCATACAAAGATTCTCTCATTAGATATAATGGCTGTTTTAGAATCAATGAAGCTAGGGATACAAAATACATCAATGAAACTCTTGCCAAAAAACTAAAGGAAGCATGGTCTCCTTCTGAAACAACCATAAAGCTTATAGAGAGATTCCTAATGGTGCCTATCTCTGACCAAGAATGGAAATCCATTTGCCTCCCTTGAATGAATGCACTAGTTATAATCACTCTGGGAATACATATACATCCTAAATCACTTAAGCCCAGACTAGGAAAAATATGGAATCTAAAGGACTTTGAGCTGATTAATTTAGTTAACAACTATTACATTATATACACAGCTTATCGACCACTGTATTCTTATTCAAAGGTGGAACCCCCAATTCAATCTAAACACTAACTCCCTGGGAAAAGTGGCTCTATGGGTCCGGTTATCCAATATTCCCATACAATGCTAAAATAAAAAAGTACTCTAGAAAATGGGAAATTGTATTGATAGAACCCTCAAAGTTAATGCTAACACCTTATCAGAGGCAAAGATGAAAGACACTACAAGTAAAACAGAAAGGGGCAGATTTGCTCGTATTAGCATCGAAATTGATCTATAAAAGAAACTGGTTCAGGCTACTCATTAGGTATGAATTATATAATGTCAAATATGAAAGCCTAAATCTAATTTGCTTTGGATGTGGCTGTTATAAGTACAATAAGGTAAGCTGCCCTTTTATTCCTAAGATCTCAGAAAGTAAGACAGAGGAAATAGGAAAAAACCCAGCA